TGCCAGACCCCAGAGCCCTGTGCCCTTGGCATCTACGTCTCGGCCTGCTGCTGCCCACACACCAGCCCACTGTCTAGTCTGCGCTTGATAGACACAGGACTGTACCCGTGGTAACTGCTGTTTCTGAAATTGCCACACTCGGGGAGCCTGGATGACTCAGTTGGTTAAGCACCTGACTCTTGATTTTGACTCGTTCATTGTAAGTGAGTTAGAGCCCCAAGTCAGGATTCTCTCTGTCCCTCCTCTACTCGTGCACACTTTCCCTCTCTCTCTCTCTCAAAAGTAAACAAATAAACTTTAAAATTGCCACCCTCACTTCACTGAGGGAAATGGAAGGCAGCCTAAAAAGCTTCTTCTCTACTGCTCCTCTTGTCCCGAAACTATTGCCTGAGCAACTCATTTTTTTTCTTTCTTTCCCCTCCCCTCCTTCCTATCTGCCCTCCTTCCTCCCTCCTTCCCCTGCCTCATTTCTAAGTTTATTTATTGAGAGAGAGAGAGAGAGAGAGAGTCTGTGTGAGCATGCACACAAGCAGGGCAGGGACAGAGAGAGAGGGAGAAAATGAGAATCCCAAGCAGTCTCCGCGCTGTCAGCACAGAGCTTGAGGCCTGAGCTGAGTCAGGACACTTAACCAACTGAGCCACCCAGGCGTCCCCCTGCCTGATTTTTGAGGGCTGTGTAGATCCCTCAATCTCATGCTCAAGATCTCAGTCGAGCCCCAACCTATCCCTCCAGTTCTACCTCTTCTCAAGCAAGCCCTTCCTCCAGTCAAATCCTCCTGAGGCAGCCCTCACTTCACTGCCTTCTTGTTTCCCCCCATAAGGTTCCCTTGGTCTAGAATGCCCCATCCATCACAGGCACACATAAAAAATCCACTCCTGGGACACCTGGGTGGCTCAGTCAGTTAAGCATCCTGATTCAGCTCAGGTCACTGAATCCCACGGTTTGCGGGATTGTGGGATCAAGCCCCGTGTTGGGCTCTGTACTGACAGCACAGAGCCCACTTGGGAGTCTCTCTCCCCCTCTCTGCTCCTCACCCATGTGTGCAGGCACTCTCTCTCTCTCTCTCTTAAATTTTAAAAATTTACTCCTTCTTCAAGCCCAAGCTCAATTTCCACCTCCTCCTGGCACACCCAGTCAATAGCACATTCCCCTCTGACCATACACATGCTTTCACGCAAACATCCTTGAGGCCTGATCTGTGCCAAGCAGATCTAGGGGCCAGGAAATGTGATGCCTTCACTGTCTGGTAAGAGAGTGGGGAATCCTAACAAGAGGAGGAAGTGGGAAGCAGAGGATGAAGCAGCAAATGCCTGCGGGAACGAGGAAAGCTGTGCCCAGGAAAGGAAGGCCAAGGGACCAGAGCCCATGTAAAGGCTGGGAAGCAGAGAGCACATATTCTAGGAGACAGAAAATTCTGCATAACAATATGGGGAAGTCATGGGGAGAGGTGAAAATGGGGGCCAGGTCACAGAAAGTTCATGTGAACCATTCTGATGTCTTGATCCCGTCCACCCTACATCAGAATCACCCAAGGAGTTTGTTAAAATGTAAATTCTTGGATCCCTACCCAGATCAGGGATGGGGCCCAATACACTTGAATTTTTCACAAGCTCTCTGGGTAATTCCAATACACAGAAGAGGAGAGAGTAGAGGTAGATTGAAGGGTTTGAAAGGAATACATCATCATCTGATTTGCTTTTTAGAAGAAATTGATGGTGCTAATCTCACATCTGCCTTTTGGCGTCTGTGTGGTAGATACTTGGTGCCACCTAATTCAGCAACCACCCCTCCTTCTTTCTTCCTAACAGAGAATAATGGGCTCACAGAAGGAGGCTCCACCCCCAGCCCAACGGGAGGATCCGGATTGGACCCTTTTGTCCAGTCCCAGATTCCTTTTATACACTTTCCCAGACTCCTTTAGACCATGCAACAGTTGTGGCTCAGGAGATAGAAGGATAGTTTGTGTGGAGTCATCTGGGAAAGGTTTGCCTCCTGTTAACATGGGCAGACGCAAAAGAAAATCTGGCTAGTGCTGATCCTCCTTCTAGATCCTGAGTGTGTGATGAAAGGCCATCTAATGATCAAGAGGTAGCAAGCCCAATAAGGAAAAGCTAATGTATGGAGGGTGGCAGAGCAGAAGGATACAACGATCCTGGCTCTTGAGGACATGGTTGAGGCACTGCCTCCAACCCAGACTCCCCCAGTGCCCTTCCACCCAACCCTCCACCAACCCAAGACTTCTTGTCCTGAGACTACTAGAATCCAGCTCTCTTGAGGGCAGCGACTTTGTCTGTTGCATGCACTCTCCCTGCCTTGAACAGTGCCTGGCACACAGTAGGTGCTCAGTAAGTATTTGTTGAGTAAGTTTTGAATGGTAAGTAGATGACTTTACGGTTTACACCAGTCATCTGAGTCATCTGTTAGCTTGTAGCCAATGAATCCTGACATAGTAGGACTGAGAACCTCCTGAGAGCAGGAGAGACTAAGCATGACTGAACACTACCCCACAGGCCTGCCACAGCCCACATCTAAGAGGAATAAGCAGCTCTTTCTCAGAGGAGCTCCAAACACTGTCCTGGACCTGGGTTCAGGCCCGCCAGAGCTGGATGGTTGGGTCTGTGAGTTCCCCTCATCCAGACCTGGGGTCAGAAGCCCCTGAGGCAACTAATGAGAAGCTTAAGAATATCCACTCTGGATTTCCCACACCAAAGGACATCCAGGAGCTACACCAACTGCAGGGTGAGAAGGTGGAAGCTGGCAGCAAGTGTTGCCACTAGATTCTTCTTGAAGTGGAAAGAAAGAACTTCTGAGAATAGCCAGACCCACCCTCCATACAAGTCATGAATTTTTTTTTTTTTTAAATTTTTTTTTTCAACATTTATTTATTTTTGGGACAGAGAGAGACAGAGCATGAATGGGGGAGGGGCAGAGAGAGAGGGAGACACAGAATCGGAAACAGGCTCCAGGCTCTGAGCCATCAGCCCAGAGCCTGACGCGGGGCTCGAACTCACGGACCGCGAGATCATGACCTGGCTGAAGTCGGATGCTTAACCGACTGCGCCACCCAGGCGCCCCCAAGTCATGAATTTTCAAGCCACTGTGGTCAAGTCTCAATCCTAAGTGTGGCAGCCAGGGAAGATGAGAAATGAAGAGGCAGGCACAGGGCATCAGCAACTTCACAAATAGGACCTCTGATGATCTAGTCCCGGCCCCCTTGTTTCACAGACGGGAAAATGAGATCCAGGGAAGTGGACAACTTGCCCCACCGTACCCAGTGAGCAATGGCAGTGTTTGTGAACTCAGGTTGATTTTAATCTTAAGAGGTTTAGGGACGGGCATTAGAGAAGGGATCCTCTCAAATTCTGCCAATTGGCATTCAGAATTAAGAACAAATATGCATAGGTCCAATTTTTTTTAAGTTTATTTATTTTTGAGAAAGAGAGAGAGCGAGAGGGGGAGGGGCAGAGGAAGAGGGAGAAAGAGAATCCCAAGCAGGCTCTGCACTGTCAGCATGAAGCCCGATGTGGGGTTCAAACTCATGAGCTGTGAGATCACGACCTGAGCCAAAATCAAGAGCCAGATGCTTAACCGACTGAGGCACCCAGACGCCCCAGGTCCACTTTTCTGAAGGAGAAGGTCCACAGTGTTTGTCAGATTCTCTAGAGGGTATAAGACTAAAGAAAGGTAGAGAGAATGGAAGAGGCCAGGCCAGGGTCACATGGTGAGTCACTGCAAACCTGAGACTACCACTTGTGTCCTAGATTCTTAGTCACTGCCCTACACTTTCTCTCCATGGGAAAGGCCATTTTCTTCAGTGCACCAATGTACCAGATTGGTTCAATAAACCAATGCACCAGGTAGGACTAGTCAGTGGGAAGACCATGGTTTCCAAAAGGTAGAGGCTCTGCTGTCCTGCTGGCATTGCTCATGGACACTAACAGAGAAGAACTAGGAAAGAACATGGAACTACACGAGAACCATTCACTCCTGAGCTGTGCCCAGACGATCCCTGAGCAAGATGAAGGCCACGGATCCATGGCATCCAGAACGTAAATGCATTTCCAGTAAGACGTACTCTGTTCTTTGGTTCCGATTGTTGATGCACGTCATTCTCAAGTCTTGTATATGCTTCCACAGGCTCCACTGGATACCGTGCTAGCCTTGAAAGAGTCAACTCCCAAAGCAAATGACAGATTGATTGAACACAACAGCAAAGTATGAAAATTAATTGAGATATTTAATAGACAGTGCAAACCATAATTTCATCTGAATATAAATGTATGCACATGTTTCCAATGAGTTATCTATCAGTTATCACAAACAGCAACAAGGACCTTAGAGCTATGTTAGAAAAATGTATATAGCTGGAATTTAACTCTACAATCTCACTTGCTCTCAAGAACACCATTCATTTCAAATCAGTGTCACAAACTCCAAAAAACCAGGGGAGTACGAGTGAGGGGTGGGCAGAGTGGTAAACACAGGGGCCAGTATACAGGTGATGGACAGAAATACAGCTCTCAAGGAACCCAAATCAGATGCATTATTACAGCTAAGGACAAGGAAAAGCCTATGGCTTTAAAAAACGACTCTTCTGCCAGTACCATACAAGTCTCACAGAGATGTGCGACGAGTCAACTGACTTAAAAGGACAGAGGCTACATTTTCAGATCATTTCAACTGCACACGGTCGACCCTTTCCATTGAGGTTCAGCAGTGGAGTTAGCGTAGTCCAGAAGCTCAATGTTGGATTTGCAAATACAGTTTATTTTACAGAAATTCAACATTATAAACAGCAGGCACCTCC